CCAGGTTCAGACTCACCAGCCTCCATGTATGTGGCTGGCACTGTAACCACTATGCTACAGGCGCTGAGCCTATGTTGATTATTTAGTAGCCTTTAATCTGTGTGTGATGTGGGAAGTGTGCACAGACATATTGAATTTGGAGGCCCTTTGGTTCTTAAATCATGAAGAGTTATAATAGCTAATGAATTAAGCATAAAGTACTATGTAGGTCTTGTTTTTCCCAATGAGGCTAATGAATTTATGTTATATATAAATATAAAAGAGGTTTATATGAGATTCCTAATACAGACCCACAGTCTCTTATCTGAAACCTTTGGGGCCATATATGTATTAGAAATGAGATTTTTTTTTTGGATACAGGAATCTTACGCTGTCATCCAGGCTGGAGTGCTGTGTCCTCATCACAGCTCACTACAGCCTTAAGCTCCTAGGTTCAAGTGATCCTTCTGCTTCAGCCTCTTGAGTAGGTAGGACTACAGGCATCTACTATGACACCTGGCTAATTTTTCTATTTTTAGTAGAGATAGGGTCTCACTCTTGCTCAAGCTGGTCTCAGACTCCTAAGTTCAAGGGATCTTCTCACCTCAGCTTCCCAGAGTTATAGGTGTGAGCCACTGTGCCCAGCTGAGAATTTTTTATATTTTAGAAAAGTAATAAAGCATATATCATATGTTAACGCTGCAGCAGCATCTTAGGTATGAATATTTTGACAGCAAAAGATATGAACATATTAAGTGAGATAAGTAATGATTCTAAGTAGCATTATCTCTGGTCATGTCAGAGTTTACCACAAAATGAATTATGGACTTTAGAGCCATTGACAATTTTGAAATTGTGCATAAGGTCTTTTGGACCCATAATAAATTATCCTTTTACTACTCTATGCATAAGGAATATATTTTATACTTGGCCAAGAAAATTCCTATTTCCCATAGAAAATTAAGCATAGAAACTTAATCAGATATTTAAATTTGTTTTTGAAATTTTAGGTTGGTTTCTATTTAAGAATTATTTAACAAATTTCAAAACTCATGGGGCTGCGCCTGTGGCTCAGTGAGTAGAGTGCTGGCCCCATATACTGAGGGTGGCAGGTTCAAACCTGGCCCCGGCTGAACTGCAGCCAAAAAATAGCCAGGCATTGTGGCGGGCGCCTGTAGTCCCAGCTACTCTGGAGGCTGAGGCAAGAGAATCGCTTAAGCCCAGGAGTTGGAGGTTGCTGTGAGCTGTGTGACGCCACGGCACTCTACCAAGGGCCACAAAGTGAGACTCTGTCTCTAAAAAAAAAAAAAAAAATTTCAAAACTCACCAAGAGACAAAATTGGCGAAATCACAGTTGGAATGAAAATTAAACTTGGATAGGCAGTATAATCCATGCAGAAGTAATGTGAGTTACCAAATTGGAGATAACAATTGGTCTTACCTTTCCTTCATATATTTTTACAATGTCTTGACCTTTTTCTTTTAAAAAGTGGTTTTTATTCTGCCTTGTTTTTCTTTTTCCCCATTCTAGCCATCTTCTTGCTTTCAAGTTTACTCTCTAAGTTAGTAGTACTGTTTCTGAACTGAAGTGCTTTGCTGTTTTAAAGCACCTACTGTGAATGAAATTGACTAGGACCATGTGATCTCAGTCAATTTCCTTCTCTGCAGGTAAAAAGCTTCTCTTGGCAGGAGTGTGGTAGCCACAGATATACTCCTGAAAAAGTTACTTTATTCCTTTACCTGTAAAAAGTTTTAACTCTTTTGAAAATGGCCTTATTCTTTTCTTACCCACCTTTTCAGCCTTTTTTAAAAAGAAGGTTCTTTAAAGGAGGAAGAAATCCTAAATATTATCTAATCTAATGAGCCTGTTTACATCTGAGGAAACTGAGGTTCAGGGAAGTTAATGGCTTTATCTGGAACCTGGCATTTGATTTCTAGTGAAGTGCCATTTTTCTTATCCTATTTCACTTTCTTTTTTTTCTTTGAGACAGAGTCTCACTTGGTCACTCTTGGTAGAGTGCTATGGCACTACAGCTCACAGCAACCTCAAACTCTTGGGCTTAAATGATCTTCTTGCCTTAGCCTCTCAAGTACTGGGACTACAGGTGCCCACCACAACGCCTGGCTATTTTTTGTGACAGTTGTCATTGTTGTTTTAGCTAGCCCTGGCCAAGTTCAAACCCGCCAACCTTGGAACATGTGGCTGGCGCCGTAACCACTGTGCTACGGGCACCAAGCCATATTTCACTTTCTTTTTTTTTTTAGAGACAGAGTCTCATTTTGTCACCCTCAATAGAGAGCTGTGGTGTCACAGCTCACAGCAACCTCCAGCTCTTGGACTTAGGTGATTCTCTTGCCTCAGCCTCTCAAGAAGCTGGGGCTACAGGTGCCTGCCACAGTGCCTGGCTATTTTTTGTTTGCAGTTTGGCCAGGGCTGGGTTTGAACCCTCCACCCTCAGTATATGGGGCCAGTGCCCTACTCACTTGAGCCACAGGTGCCATCTTATATTTCACTTCCTTATCTGTGAGGGAGTTTGTAGTTATTTTTAGTATTGGTTTAGTGGCCAAATTAGCATTTACTGGGCCCAGCCCAGCTCTTAATCTGTTATTGTATGATGTTAACATTTGGAATCCATACTTCCCCACTATACCAAACTTATAGCCTTCTAGTTAATGTAACCCTTATCTAAAATGCATTTTTTTAATTCTGGAAAAAAAACACATTTCATAAGTTAGTTTTAACCTTCAGAGGGTTAAATACAGTAGAACTTCCATAGTTGACCACCTCCCTACATTGACTACCTCCCTTAGTTGACCTAATTTTCATAGACCAGACTTGTACCACATGTACATAGACCTAGTTCCTTATGTTGACCACCTCCATATATTGACCAGTTTGTTGTAATCCATTGGGTGATCAACTTAACAGTGGTTCTACTGTGTAAAGAAAACTGAAGCATTTGTCCTTAATCCTGATTAAAAGACTTTAATCAACATATCTGAAACGCTGGCCTTAAAAAAATGTAATATTTCATGAAATTACAGTAAGAAGATCTATGTAAATTATGCCAGTACTACTAAAATAAAATCTAAATTTTATATAAGAAAGACTACAGCTAAGTATTGTGGTGCATGCTCTAGCTGCTCTGGAGGCTGAAGTGGGACTGTTGCTTGAGCCTGGTAGTTCTAGGCAAGCCTGGGCAACAAACATAGTAAGACTTCATCTCTCCTTTCTCTTCTCTTCTGTTCTGTTCTATTCTTTTTTTTTTTTTTAACAAGAGTCTGTCACCCAAGATAGAGTACTATGGCCTCATCCTAGCTCGCAGGCAACCTTAAACTTCTGGGCTCAAGCTCCTCCCTTAGCCTCCCAAGTAGCTGGGAATGCAGGTGCACAGTGGCGCATGCCACCTGGCTAATTTTTCTATTTTTTTTAGTAGAGGCAGGGTTTCTCTTTGCTCAAGCTGGTCTCAAACTCTTGACCTGAAAAGATGTTTCTGGCCTGTGTTTCCCAGAGTGCCAGGATGACAGGTATGAGCCACCTCACCTGGCCCAAGACCTCATTTCTTTGAAAAAAAATAAAAAAGACTGTGTAGAGAGATAACATCCATGTTTAAAGAAAGTAAATGTATAATTAAACTATTAGTTCTTTCTTATTTTCCCCCCAAATTAGTATTATGACTGTCTTTAAAATACTTCCTGATTAAAAAAGTCAGCTACATATTTTTCCATTGTTGAAAATCCAAATAATTAAGAAAATCCAAGTTTTCTTATTCTAGATGCTTTAAAAAAAAAAAAAAAGAAAGAAAGAAATGAATTTCTTTGATACATTCATGAAGACTTTGTCTCAATGAAGATTCTTTTAAATACACATTTGATTTTAAGGAATGTAGTATAAGAAGATGAAATCGACCCCATATGCCAGAGGTGGTAGGGTCCAACGTGACCCTGGTGGAAAAAAAAAGAAGATGAAATTATAGACAAATGGATTGAAATGGAGTGATTCTAGATGATGCTGATACAAAAAGAAAGGATTATTTTGAAAATATTAAAGTAAAATCATTCCTATCTTGTATTTTTAAGCTAATGGCTAAAGCATTTTCCTCTAATAGTCTCATAGATGTTTGTGAAGTTATTCTTGTTTTTTTAGACATAGAGTCTCACTTTATCGCCCTTGGTAGAGTGCTGTGGCATCGCAGCTCACAGCAACCTCCAGCTCTTAGGCTTAGGCGATTCTCTTGCCTCAGCCTCCTGAGTAGCTGGGACTACAGGTGCCCACCACAATGCCCAGCTAATGAAGTTATTCTTAAATTGAACTTTTGTTAAATCAAATCATATGTTTCTTTGTAACAAATTTCCTGACTTTTAGAACTCATTGTCAACTTCCTTTATATTGTGAATAACCATACTACCTTGTAAGTTAGTAATTCTTCATAGGATATTGAATTATCTTAAAATATAATGAACTGATAAATAACGAATATATTTCCTAAACAGCAGTGCACTAATGATGGGATTTGTTTTTCACTCCATATTGAGAATCATGTAGAGTGATAGATTCTTACCTTTTAAAAGTGTTATAATAATTTAAAATAATTCCAGGTATCTTTGTGGCTTATTCTTAGTTTATTTTAAATCTTAAATGTACAATGTATCTTAAATGTAATGTGACATATAGATGAAAAAACTTGCTCTGAAGGCTTCTTCCTTCAGTTTAACAAAAGCCACCCATTTCACAGATGATTTAACTTTGATTAACCTACTCCATTGTAACAGATTATTCCAACAACTGGAATTTCATGCTTTGGTGTTATTTCTAGGTTCAGCTAATTTACAGAACAGCTTTTCTTTCCATCTCACCAAAATATATCACAATTTTGATGTTAACGCAAAGTAAAAATTCAATGGTTCGTTAAACCTAGTTTCAGCATTCATTGACAAGAGATTTGTCCTTTTCAAAGTAACTGCTACTTTATCCACTCTTTGCTGTTCAGTTTTATAACCCTAGATCCCTGTCAGAGAAAGCATGGAGTTAACCACTTAGCATATTGTAATGAATATTCATCAATAAATTGATATGACATGGCAGTTCCATTTTTCAGTCTTGCTCTGTTACAGTCCTTTCCATTTTTAAGAATAGCTTATCGTATTAATAGAGACTAGCGTAGAAAATCTTTAAACTGTAGTTTTATTTTTTTGGCCATGTTAATATCCCTTTAGCTATTGTATTAGTTTATAAGAGAGGTGTATTTGTTTCAAAGTAACATTCTTTATTGTTACTGATTTTAGGCATTTTTGCCAAGTATTTGATTAGCTTATAACAAAAATATAACATTCTGCATCTTTAAGAACAGCGTATCATTTGTTTTTCTGTTCCTTGGAATTTATTGAGCTTAATTATTTTTATGAAGTTTAAATTCCATTTGTGTTTTAAAATTTGTAATTCATGTAGAAAGGGAGGCATGTACATTTGTTCTAGAATAAAAAACCCTGAAAGCCTATGTTTAAATAATTGAGATTCATTCAGCTACAACTAAAATAATTTATTTGGACAAATAGGCATGGCAAATGCTATAGTAGACAGATAGAGATCACCATCTAACATGCTTCATCTACATTTTAAATTTTAAAAGAAAAAGAGTGTCTATAAACAAGATCTTTTCAGTTAAATATGTAGATTATGAGGTCACTTAGCACTAAAGTACTGACCATGTGCATTATGACAGGAATTTGACACCTGTCATTGGAAATGGTATTTAGAAGTCATATAATGCAACAAAGTTAAGGGAGGAGAATAAGATGTGGGTAGGAGGCTGTAATTTATAATCTATAATGCTCAAGAATGACCTGTCCATGGTTATTTTAGGATTTATATATAGTGAACCCTATTAGTAAACAAAATTGATTAGGATAATTGATAGTATTATCAGAAAATGAAAAATAGATGTATATTCTCCCACTGCATTTTTAATTGAAGTAAATGCCCTATTATTCTAAAAATCATCTTTTAAGTTAAATGTAATTAGATTATTATATTACACCTGCAGGTGACTTTATGGAAGAATTTTATTCTAATGTTTAAGCAGTATGGTATAGAATTGCCACGAGTTATACTGTTTTCAAATTAATAATTCGTTGTATGTGAGAATTCATCTAAAAAAGAAGTAGTGTCTTTCTGTTTCTCTGTGTGATTATTTTGCCCAAAAAAGCTTTTATTTTTTTAAGTAGCACAAAAGCTGTAATTGGCATGCTTTGTAAGGAAGTGTCAGTGTGCAAGAGAGTGGCGATCACTAAGAATTCTCTTACGTGTTCTTTCCCCTTTGCACCACCGCCTCCTCAGCAGGGTCACTGAGATCACTAGCTTTTCTTGAAATGGCCATTTTCACTGGCAGGTGCATTATACCCTGTATTTTCAGATTGTTTTTCCATTCTGAATGTTTGGCAGGTTGATTGCTCTGGCTGCATTGACGGAGAAAGGGCTGACAAATGCGGTTGGGCTGGCTGAAAAGACAGTGATTACTGTTTTCCTTTGTGGCTGATTGAGGCCCTTGAAAGGAAAAATTTTAACCTTCACCATTTGGTTCAAAAGTATGAGCATATATTGAAATCATTCGTGCCATTTATCCTAGTTCTGTAAACTTGTCAGAACGTAAAAATCGCTCAATTTCAAGTAATGTAGGATTGGCATACGTCATTATCATTTTGATTAAGTTGGAGGTTGTATCATTGTGTGCATTATACAGTGTCATTTAAAGCTTTCTTTCCACAGGTACAGTTATATTTTCATTGCTTATACTATAGAGTTAGAAAGATTTTCATAGCTCTCTAAACCTAACACTATGTGTGTGGTTTGGCAGCTGGTGTGGCCTGTAAGCTGCATTTTGTTTGCAGGGTAAAGGCTTGTCTCTAGGCCTCCTGGAGTGTGGGTAATTGCACAGGCCGCCATTGGGGAGAGACACAGGATTGGAAGCAGTCAAGCGGAAGAATGTTATGCCATCCCATTGCCACCTTGTAGCAGAAAGACACAATCCCAGCAGTGCCATCTGGTTGTTGCTATCTTGTCAGCTGGCCTAGCTGCTGGGACCATGACTTGGCAGCTGGTTCCCATCCTTGACCATTCTTTTGTGTATATCACATGTATGTGAGTTTTAGATAATTTTGAACATGGGTCAGGAAATGACTATAACTAACTCCCCTTATTGAACAGCCTCTCATTATGAGATGCCCTCTGCTGCAGAATGCCTGCTGCCGTTCTCTTTAGACAAATAACACGTGTGTTTACACAGTAAAAATAAGTATCTTCTTCGTAAAAACCTATCTCAGTATATAGCAAAAGAAAAGGCTTGTATGTTCTGCAACATTTTTAAATAAATGATTTTCTTTTACTTCCTGGTTTGGGGATGTAAGAGATTTAGTAATTTTTTTAAAAGTCTATAAACAATGTATGTTATCCCAATATATATTTTTATTCAAATTAAGAAAACATTTTTTAAGTGCTTATTGCCACATCATGTAACAGCAGATAATGAGACTTGCATTTAAAATGACAGAATAGAAAATGTGGTCTTATAGCTATTATCTTTAAAATCTGCCTCTCAAATAGCAACCTGAGAGTTAATGTAAGCAGTCTTTATGCCGTATGAAGACCCATTAGACACTGATGGTTTCAGATCACAAGTATGCAGCCAGCTCTGTAGGCTATTTTAGACGTTTGATTTTCCTCATTCTACAGCATTAATGTGTCAGCATGCTATATAAAACTATGCAGGAGTTGCATGTTGTTCTGTCTGGAATGATAAATGCTTGAAGCTTTTAAAGTCTTCCGTAAGGATCGTCCTAGTTGCTTATGTATCTTATTTCAGTTTGTGTAGCTACAGGATTTAGTATGGCTGTTGACGAGGTCCCACATAGGTATATATAAAAACTAGGAGATTCCATGCCCAGCCTGAAATACTATTTCAAAAATAATAAGTTATTGTCTTAAAAATAATTTTTATCTTTACTTTTTCAGATGAAGAAGAAGAAGATGATGTAGTAGCTCCTAAACCACCTATTGAACCTGAAGAAGAGAAAACTTTAAAGAAAGATGAGGAAAATGATAGTAAAGGTATCTTAAAGAAGTAAACTTTAAACATTTTTGTTGATTTCTGCTAGATTTTCTTTTATTATTTATGTGTTAAAGTAGTATAAAATATTCTAAATCAGAGAGGAGAATCCGGCTGTAAAAGAATGCTGGTCGTTGATCTCCACGATGATAGTGAGTGGATATGATTTGGCTGACATAAATCAAACTTAAAAAAACATTTGTTTTCCAGCTCCTCCTCATGAGCTGACTGAAGAAGAAAAGCAACAAATCTTGCACTCTGAGGAATTCTTAAGTTTCTTTGACCATTCTACAAGAATTGTAGAAAGAGCTCTTTCTGAGCAGATTAACATCTTCTTTGACTATAGTGGGAGAGATTTAGAAGACAAAGAAGGGTAATGTTTAATTGCTAAGATTTTAACTTCAGCAATTTTAAATTAAGATTAAGAAGGATAAAAGTTCTAACATCATCTTTTGGGGGGATTTGGTCTTTTTCCATAGAGAAATTCAAGCGGGTGCTAAACTATCATTAAATCGACAATTTTTTGATGAACGTTGGTCAAAGCATCGCGTTGTTAGTTGCTTGGATTGGTCATCTCAGGTAAAATATAAAAAAATTGGTTACGCTTAACTCGTTTTTGAATTATATCATAATTAGCAAGTAGTTTTATTTTAATTGTGGGAATTTTGTGTAATTAAATCAGTATTATCATTTTAAACAATCGATGGTGCCTATGAATAATACTAGATTCATTTCCTCTTGTGCACTTTGGAAAAAAGGATTGAAAACATTGTATTTGAAATTCAGGACTTTATTTACGCCACAGACTAGTTTTACTGATTTCAGTTGCTTACCAAATCCTTTATATAAAATTTAAACACATATTTTAATTAAATGTTTTAATGCTAAAACATTTTAAATAATTAACTGTACTAACTTAAAATTGTACTAATGTCCCAATGAGTATAGCTCCAGAGATATCTAGATATCTGTCTTGATGAAGTGTTAGATCAAGATCTAGATATCTGTCTTGATGAAGTGTTAGATGAAGTGTTGTATTTTCAAAATAATCTGATAAAGACTGTTGAATAACTAGGAACATAAAACAGTTCTTTTCCACTTGGTTTTTCTGAGTAGTATCCAGAGTTACTTGTGGCTTCCTATAACAATAACGAAGATGCCCCTCATGAACCTGATGGTGTGGCCCTTGTGTGGAATATGAAATATAAAAAAACTACCCCAGAGTATGTATTTCACTGCCAGGTAAGGTGGTCTTTTAACAGTCTTCCCCAAGTTTAAGAATTCATTGATGAATTTAGACAAGTGCCTTTTTTCTTTTCTTGTCAACATAATGGTTTCATTGGATTGGCATTTACTAAACCACTCCATATTTGCAAACAGATGTTAACAGAAAACTGAAGACTTCTCAGTTCAACATGATCTGCCTTTTGTAGCTTTGCTGACATCTCTTATAATGTTTAATCACACCTAAAGTCCTTTGCAGTTGTGATTTTCTGTTATTGTGATTGATTGTATAAAAGGAATCTCTTATAAAATGTCTTTTCTACAGGGAGTTTCTCAGGAACTTTATTTGCTGAATATACATTCAGATGGTTGGCCCACTGAATTACTTATACATGGCCTGAGGAGTTGGAACTAGATAGTTTTAAGTAGAAACATATGGCTGAAGTAGGAAACAGATGCAGATTTTTTAAGTGGATTTAGTAGGTTAGAATTTGCAAGCCTTTTCTAGTTGTATATGTTAAAATGTTTTAATAATGTCATAATCCTGAATAAACATTTACCTGAATCAAGACTGTCAGGTTACTATATAGAGGCTAATATGGGGACAGTTATCTTTTTAATAGTATAATCAAATGAAATAATTTTTTGTCTTCTCTGCTGAATCACTTACACATATTTATGTAAACAATCATTGCATTGACTTTTAAGCAAAAATGTTTTAAAGATATATTTTAATATTTCTGAAACAAAATGAAGACTTTTAATGAATTTGTCTTAGATGAAGAAGGAAATGTTTCAGATAATAGGTTGATTTTTATAATTTGTCAAGCTTTTTCCATTGAATCTCAAGTATAAAAATCTTATTTGCAGTCAGCTGTGATGTCTGCAACATTTGCAAAATTTCATCCAAATCTTGTTGTTGGTGGTACATATTCAGGCCAAATTGTGCTTTGGGATAACCGTAGCAATAAAAGAACTCCAGTGCAAAGAACCCCACTGTCAGCTGCTGCACACACAGTAAGTAAATAAGATTATTTCCATTAGACTTTGTGCTCTTTCACTGTTAAATACTTAGTAGTATCCATCAGAGTAGTCTTAGAATGTGCTTCCTTTGTTAAATGAATTTCTCACCAATTAGCAAACAAGAATGAAGGCCTTTTTTCTGTATTTTTGCAGATTTGTTTTATCAGAAATTTATCTCCCTTTTTGAGATTCATGTTAATCAACATAATAGCAGCAACCTTCACATTAAAAATACAAGTCTCTTAATATGAAATAGAATATCAATGATTAGATTGAAAGTCTTATGTCCTTTTTTTATAAAATACAATCTTTGACTTTTCTTTAATGTTCCTAGCACCCTGTATATTGTGTAAATGTTGTTGGAACCCAAAATGCTCACAATCTGATTAGCATCTCTACTGATGGAAAAATTTGTTCATGGAGTCTGGACATGCTTTCCCATCCACAGGTAGGTTGAACTTGGGAAACTGCAAGTTTGAAGCAAATATTGTTATATTTTAAGTGTGTATATACCCCTGCCTTATATTTTCCATAAACTGTTTTATAATAGTAATGTTGTAGTTTATGAACATAAAGATGTGTCAGATACAGTTTGTTGTGTATTTTCAAATCTGTTTGTCTTGAGATAGATTTACATAAGAATAGTTTATAAACCAGTTAAAACTAGAAGTTCTACAAAAATTTAAAATTGCAATTTTACAAAATAATTTTTTAAATTCTTTTCATGTAGGATAGCATGGAGTTGGTTCATAAACAGTCAAAGGCAGTAGCTGTGACATCTATGTCCTTCCCTGTTGGAGATGTCAACAACTTTGTTGTTGGGAGTGAAGAGGGTTCTGTGTATACAGCATGCCGCCATGGCAGGTAAACCTGAACTGGAAATGGCAATAATTTCAAATTCTCTCAGAATAATCCCATTGAAACAAATTGCCCCTTATGTAAGTAGAAATCTGTTCTTGAGCCATTTGTTGTTTCTGATAAACTATTTGAGTTCAGGCATATAAAATTAAAACTTAAATACTTTCATTAAAAAAATGATCATTTTGGATTTATGATGTGTTCTAGATTTTGTGGGTTCTGAAATTTTGTGGGGTTTTTTGTGTGTACACAGAGTCAGAGAAGTTAGTGGTAGCAATTAAAGGTAAAATATACACATGTCACATACTACATATGATCTTCAAACTTGTAAATAAGATTTTTAGCAATTTTCCCATTTTGATTTATTTGGAGTCTGAGCTTTGCTTTAGTTCTCCTGATAATTGTGTAGTAGTTTCACATTTTATTTGAGACAGAGTCTCACTCTGTCACCCTGAGTAGAGTGCCATGGCCTGATTATAGCTCGAAGCAACCTCAAATTCTTGGGCTCAAGCTATATCCTCTTGCTTCAGCCTCCCGAGTAGCCGGGACTACATGCTGTGACATCACACCCAGCCTCACATGTACTTTTTAAACTGACTAGTATTTGCCCTGCTGTTTAATATGTTTTGAAATTGTCTAGCTGTACCTTATCAGCTGCTTCCATTAAAAAATTTAGTGTCCAGGCTAGGTATGGTGGTGTAATCCTAGCACCCTGGGAGGCCTATTAGCCAGGCATTGGGGTGGGCACCTGTAGTCCCAGTTATTGGGGAAGCTGAGGCAGGGAAAGGAGGATCACTTGACCCAGGAGTTTGAGATTGCTGTGAGCTTAGCTGATGCCACGGCACTCTAGCCTAGGCAACAAATTGAGACCGTCCCTAAAAAAAATCAGTGTCCAGATTTTATCTCAAATACAGATCACCTTCACTTCAAAGCTTTTGATTTAAAAATAGCACAGAGTGTCTTACATGCAGGATCCCTTTGTCTCCATTCCACTACCTCAGATAAGGGCTTTTGAGTTTTGTTGTCAACAGCATGATATTTATGGTTTCAAAATGTACTTATTGCTTTGGTAGTGTTATCTGAATAGGATAGCGCTTAATGTAAGTTGATCTGATATGTTCTGAACACAGGTTAAGTTTGTCAAAACTAAGTCAAGATCTGATATATAAAAACGTAATAAAATGTATTTATAATTGTACCTCATCTCTAAAAATAGCCAGGTGTTGTGGCAGACACCTGTAGTCCCAGCTCCTAGGGAGGCTGAGGCAAGAGAATCACTTTAAGCCCAAGAATTGGAGGTTGCTGTGAGCTGTGACGCTACGGTATTCTACTGAGAGCAACAAAGTGACACTCTGTCTCAAAAAAAAGAGAGAGATTTTCCTAACATTTTTATTTTTATGAAACAGCAAAGCTGGAATCAGTGAGATGTTTGAGGGACATCAGGGACCAATCACTGGCATCCACTGTCATGCAGCTGTTGGAGCGGTAGACTTCTCACATCTTTTTGTCACTTCATCATTTGACTGGACAGTAAAACTTTGGACAACTAAGGTATCTAAAATATGGATTGCTATTTGCTCAGTTTTTGACACAAGGTGGTGCTCTAATACTACATAGGAAAAAAAACTTTTAAATCACTTAGAATTGTTTACTGATAGATCTGATCTGCTAAGAATTTATACAACACATGAGTGAGCTACTAAATGTAGTTTTCATAAAAGTGTGCTAGCAAATATTGTAACCCCATACATAATCAAAGACCAGTTTTCCTTCCACTTCAGGCTTTTCAAGCACAGTACTATTTACCCTGAACTAACTTCGGAGAAAAGCTCCAGAGTATCTTACATAGCACCTCATATAATTGTCATTCAGTTCAGCACAAAAGCTTTGCATTTGCTCTTTAGAGAGCTTTTAGCAGCCTATTCAGAACTCTAGCAGCTCACAAAGCTGATGGATAATGGAGAAAAGACAGATAGAAACTGATTTACAGTAAGTCCTACATAATAATGCTGTAATAATAAACTTGAATTATTAAGAAAAAGCATTGGGTAAAGGCATGGATACTTTTTGTTTGTTTGTTTCTACTATAAGTAATTTGAAAAAAAATTTATGTGATAAAAGTGCTTCCTGATCCTCCAGCAATTCCAGATAAATATGTCA